ACTCTGAAAACAAGAATTGAAGATGTAATGTGAAATATAACTTTCCTTCTTAGAAATCCAAACAACATACTTAAAAGAGGGATGTGTGAAATGGTATGATCCACGGTGATCAAACCTAAAGGAATAGGGGTTTATTCCTCTAAGTAACGTATTTAGAATAAGTTACATAATGCCATATAGTGTATCAAATTTGACCAGAAATGGTTACCTCATCAATATCTCTGATTACAGTATTTAAAACATAAGAAAGACATATATGATGTGTATAGCTCTATGGTTTTGATACCTTCTAGAAAAAAAAATTGAAGTTAAGAAAAATTGGCAACATAAAAGGTATGTTGATGGGATCTGACATGACTGGTGTAAGAGCTATAAATAGAAACAGTGTATATAATATATCTTAGTCTAGAATTAGAGCTTGAAATATGACCTGGTCAGATCTGTCTGTTCATTATATATATGTATATTACAGTGGTCAGTATTATATATATATATATATCACATGTGATATATTGGTTATAATGCCCCCCAGACAGGAAAATCAAATTATCACTGTAAGGAATTGAAATGGGTTAGTAGGTATTGCTGCTTGTAAAATTACCCAATTCTGCATGGATGTATTAGCTCATTAAGTTGCAAAATGAGGTGAATTTTTGGTTCATTTCTTAGCCCAACAGGTGAAAACTTTAGAGAATATGAGTATTAGTATATCACTCAAAACTGTAAAGAAAAAAACAAAAAATATTTGATATTCCATGTACAATTTGCTAGAATTACTTTTTGAAAATTGAGATTCAGTGATAATTATTGTTTGTTTATAGATAGTGCATAGCTTGAAACCACCATCTGTAATAAAAGCCATAGGTTGGTGATGTCTGTGTCCCAATATGCTACTGCACAAGAGAAAAGTATAACTTTGAACCACCCTCTGGTTCAACTGCTGTAGCTTCTAATAGGCCCAGAATGTCATAGAGCCTATGAATAACCCGTGAAGTTGGTGATAGACCTGTGTATCAATAAGTTACAGATGTGATAAATATAGAATAGCATAGCTTTGAACCACCCTCTGGAATAAAAGCCAGAGGTTGGTGATGTCTGAATAAACTGTTAGATAAACCAGTTGAGAAAAACATAGCTATGAAGCCCCTTTTGAAATATAAACCAGGGTTGATGATGTCTGTGTATAAGTACATGGATGAACCACCCTCTAGAATATATGTCAGAGCTGATACTTGGTAGAAAGTAGAATGACTGAAGGTGAAAACTTGGACAATGTGAGAGTAATAAGACTATACTGTATTCTGTATAGTAAGTTAGGTTTGATTTATCAGGGTATAGGTCATAATAGAATTAGGTTAATAAAACAGATCTTGTGGTTTGGCCTGGTTTTCTACATGTTGATAATACTCAATATTATAGAGAGGGTGGGCTGTGGTTAACTCAGAGGTCAGATAGTCATAGTTGATTAATGCATATTAATGTAGGTGAAGGATTTAACTTCCAAAAGCACATGTTGAGGTCAGTATTTAATATGTTTGTAAAGCAATTTGATCTGCATTAACTTACATTGCTGAGAAAGTATTTTTGCAGTATATTTGTCAGTCTTGTATGCTTGAAGTTTTAAACTATCTGTAAGTTTGACCATCAAGAAAATTTGATTTAAATATTCCAGTCTTCCAGTAGATAAAAAGATGAATAGATTGTTTTGCTGTAACAGTTTTATATTAATATTGAAATGTAGAATCAAAAACCAATGAGCATTACTATGTCATGTTGCACTTTAATTTTAAAAGATTTATCTGCTATAAACATTATCAAGCTATTGATATTGTAGTGTTTAAATATGCATGATTATTTGCTGCATTTCTTACATTTAAAGCAACATCTGATACTGAATATTTGTACTGATTTGCAATTTTAATTTGACAAAATAAAAAAATGAAAAATCCAAAGAGTGATTGTGAATAGTGATATTTTGTGCATTGCAATATTCTAATTATTATATATCATGCAAGCTACTTGATTTACATTTTCTGCATGTTATGACATAACAAATAGAAGAAATTAACAATATAAATATGTTTGTTAGTGGATTATGTTGACAAAAGTCATATATTTCAGGTTTGCTTTGTTATTAAGATAATCTTTTGAATCACTGATTTGTCTACAGATGGAGTTTGTCTTGGATTATCTTTTGACTGATGATTTTTATAAGTAAAAGCTGGTTGTTATTTAGTGTTTCAGTGATTGAAAGTAGTAGTTACTTGTTTGATGTATTACAAATTTACAATGTAGCCATTTGAAATAAGTTGCTATACTTCTCATTATCCTGGCCAGTGTATTGCTAGAATGACCTGACCTATTTCTACAAGGCGAGTTGACCAGTATGTTATCAATAGAGGTCACTACTGACCAGTCTAGTTATTGATGTACTGACCACTGATATGTTTCTAGTTCACAAGCTGCCTGTAGTATTGATTATTAAACAGACTGTGTTCTAGTCAGACTTAATAATTATCTTGAAGGCCTTGGAATATTAGATTTGTTTTCTAATCAATGACATTTCAAGCCCTGATTTACATCTCATTACACACTGCATGGCTTTGTCCTTAGTGTTAGTAGTTATTTTATTGAACTCTGTAAAATATAAAATGTAGATTTAAAATTCCATTTTATTCAGCTTTTCATGGGTAGGTTAAATAAAAAAACTCAGGAAAGCATTCAATCACAAAAGTTAAGCTTATACAAAATGAAACTTTGTCAAGGTTCGCACAGCCTTGAAATACCCTTGAATTCCATCCGTTGCTTTGAAAAACCTTGATTTCAAAAAAAGTCTTTGAAAACACCATAAAAAACCCATTTTCTCTTGAAAAGTCCTTGAATTTTTAGTTAAGTCAAATTGTGTATATTTTTAACAATTTAATAAGCGGACATTTTTGTCTGAGTAAGATTTATCAACAGAACAGCCGTTACTGAAAATAATAAATGTTGACTTGGAAGTACAATATTCAATATAGATGACATAGTAGGGGGAATAAAGCAACAACCATGGGTCATGTAGTCTCGGTTGTCATCTATGTACAATTTCCACATACCATGTTGATCGAGTGATTATTATGTTACAATATATAACTTGTAAGGTCACGTCTCGCGATGTCTATCAACTTAAATTAATAACATGCTTTTATTTTTCACTGTTTTTGATCAATTCCCAATTATACGAGATTTTAGTGATTTTTTTTCGCTAATTTGGCAGAATGACCTGGTCGAAAAAAGTAATATAACCCTAACCCGAGCTGGGCCCACTGGGAAATGATCTCCTTGGTAACATGTACATCTTGATCGTCAATATTGTTCTAATCTAAGTTTATCGCTATGTCCGGAAGATGTACTTTTAACCGATCGTGGTTACAAATGAGTGAATTTAGTAAATTTAGAGGTTAAAGATAACCGAAACCATGCTCGCTGTTCAATTTGTAACAAAACTATAAACCTGGCAAAGATGTAATAACTAATGTTTGTTCTGAAATAGTTGTGAAACTCTGATGTTCCTTACCACATTAATATCAAAGTCTCCGAATTATTATCCTCAGATTTTCAAGTTATTTATAGCTTTAAACATTGTTTCATTTCAGATGCCAGTATGATGATCAGATAGTTCGTCCATTTTAATCTACCTCACTTCAGCATAATATTACTTGTCCGGTGATACCTGCTACACGTCCAACCCTGTGTTCTATAACCTAGATTGTCTTCAAACACCTGTTCCAAATACCCAATATTTGACATATAGATTTATCTGTCATTATAGTGTCAGCCAATCGAAAGTGTTTTTTCCTTTTGATTTGAGGTATGAAAAGTTATCTCCCTTTCTTATAGTCCAGTAATCAGAGTTATCTCCAGTTGTCTGGAAATCAGTGTCTTGTTGTCCAGTCGGCAGGGAATGATACAGTTTAATGGTAAGTAAAGTTTTAATTGTATGCATATGTCTAAAGTCAATATAACCATTTCCATATATATAGGCATAAGAATGAGATGTTGTAGATATGTGAATTTTGTTGATAAGCACACATTTGTCAGATGAGTTCAGTTTTTTCAGGGGATTCAATTTCATCTAATTATTCACATTCCTTACACACAATTTCAATTTCCACTAAAAATTTAAATTGACATTTTACACAACCTGTTTCAGGCCATGTGTTTCGAAGGAATTCTTCAATTTGAAGGAAGGAAAGATGAACCCAAATATGGGAAATCACAGTGTGGGTAATGAGGGTTCGTCTGGACCTTCTAATCATCATCACCAGCAACAACAACAACAGCAACAACAGCAGCAGCAGCAAGACAACATCAACAGCACACTAGCCATGGTGACAATGCCTAATGTTACTATGTATAGTAACTATGCTGCCCCTCCCCCTCGTGATGTATACACAGATTATAACATGTACCATAAACAACAGCAATACGTCCATCAGATGCAGAAGGAAAATGGTGAGTAAAATTTTTAAACTATAGTTTATATTCCTGATGTTATTGCAGCACATCTTATTGTTCAGGCTTATGTAATCAACATACACATTTAATTACGCTTTGGATGTGTTTCAATGTTCACCAATAACTTAAGCTTATATTGATATATGTCTTAGACTACATTATTGTGCACCATATTGTAAGGAAAGTTTTGGATTTTACTTGCGTTTGAATATGCCACCCATGTCTTGAGGCTGTGGCATCATAAAGGAATGAACCTTATTTGTATTGTCTTATATACCCAATGTGGTGGCTAAAAAGCAGAGAGGATAATAGTTTATATCAGTCTCAGTAATGTAATCTAAGGGGAACCACTCTAGTTTTGTACATCATTTTAATTATAATACTAAACAGTCCACAGTTACACTATCATTATCACATACCTTTTCAGTATAAGCTGTGCGTCATTTTCTGACCTTTGTTTTCTGTGTGTTTTAGGTGGAGTATATCATGATGTGCCAAATACTATGTATGACTTAACTAGCCCTCATCACCTCTCTTCCGATCCAACCTTATCCCCTCCCTCACCACCCCCACCCCCCAGAGTTTATCGACCTTGTGTCGTCTGCCTAGATAAATCATCTGGCTATCATTATGGAGTCAGTTCCTGTGAGGGCTGCAAGGTGGGTAACAGCTTTATTCCTAATTATTCTTTTACATTTACTGCCTTTTAATCAATATTAATGGCTTTTTTGTATTCTCATCTTTCAGATCATGTGTTGAAAATAAAAGTAATGAAATTATTTAACTCTTGTTTGCCGAAATTTTGCTTTTCATGGAATTGTTTTATCTTTTGTAAATATGGCAACAAATACTATTAATTTATACAATGGTTTTGTGGAGTATTCTCATATTTTTGTGTTTTTTTCAGGGATTTTTCCGTCGAAGTGTACAGAAGAATATGCAATATACGTGTCATAAAGACAAGAATTGTCCAATCAACAAAGTGACGAGAAATAGGTGTCAATATTGCCGGCTACAGAAATGTTTTTCTGCGGGGATGTCACGAGAAGGTAAAGAACGTAAGATCTTTTAAATCTATTTTTAGAAACATGCATGTTGATGTTGTATTTCTGTGGATGGTTCAGCTGTGAGTAACATTATTTGTTGTTGTTATTTATGGCCAATTATTGTAACTCAAGTACAGATGAAAAAGAAAGAGTTGTGGCCACATGTGAGCAAAAATAGATTGCTTGATTGGCAATGCAACTATAATATATTACAAATTGGTGCTAGTAATTTTTATCAGTAAGTGGTTAAACACAACTAATGCATGTATTTAACATCTGAAACTTGTAAGGAAAGTAGTTTTAACTGAACTTCTAAGATAACTATTATAATTTGTGTGTAGTCAGAGATATGTTTTATTTTCTAGCGGTGAGAAATGACCGAAATAAGAAACGTAAGAAGGCTGCTGAGAGCTCTAGTAGTAGTAGTAGTTCCACCACTAGTACCACGTCAGAGGAATTAACAGAAGAGGAGAACATGTTATTACAGGACGTTCTGGAAGCTCACAGACTCACCTGTGATACAGCACCAATATCAGATAATGGTGTCATAGAAAATGGGGTGCGTTACATTTTGTTTATTAGACAATCCAATTTTACTCAAGTTCTTCATGGTTAATTCAGTAATTCGACTATGTCAGTACATTTAATTCTATAATGTTCAAAATGAATTTCCTTAAGATATTTCAGATATACAGAAGATATAATTTCAATAAAAAACACTGAAAGTAGCCCAAGAGATTTTAAGGAATTTCAGTCTAGCATTACTCTACGGTAAAAAAAATCTTACCATCCATTTCTGTTCCTCTGTTTAAGTGTCATTTGGTTTTATTCTAGGATAAAGATAAAAGTCCAGCAGAAAATGGAAAAGATAAAGAAAATGAAACAGAGAAAAATGGCAATAAATTATGGGATAAGATCTCATTATTATCATCAGGGGGAATTGTTAAAATTGTGGACTTTGCTAAAAAGATCAATGGTTTCTCGTCATTATGTACTTCAGATCAAATTACTCTACTAAAAGCTGCTTGTTTAGAAATTATGGTGAGTTATCTTCATGTCATATCTGTGCAAATATTCATAATAGAATTATCAATACAGAAGAAAATAGAACAATGCCAGCATGAATAGTTATTATATAGTAATAATATATATAGATTATTTTCTGTACTCCTCACTGTACACTTCACATGACACTGTTCCTGTTATTATTGCTCCTAGTGTCTCTAAAACACTGGTTGTTATAAATACTGTGATATTGTTTGTAACTCATAAATTTCTTAAACCATACCAATGTATTTTGTATGCATTGATTTCTATTTTATTCTGTTTTGTAGATATTAAGATTAAGTTTTCGATATGACCCAGATTTAGATTCTATGGTATTTTCAAATAAAGTGTGTATAAATAGAGAACAGTTAGAAGAAGGTGGGTTCGGGGTACTGGCTGCTACCATATTTAATTTTGCTGCCTCCTTAAAGTCTATGAGTACTGATGAAACAGAATTTGCTGTATTATCTGCTGTTTGTTTAGTTAGTGGTGGTAAGTTAGAATATTTATTAATGAATTTATTTTTCATGTTACTACTGTTTACTGTAATTTATAACATATATTTAAAGTGCTTAAGTTTCTCCTTTTCTTGGCTCAAATTTCAAAGTAAATTACAAAAATTTTAGGAAAAATTTGGACATGAAAAATTTCAGACTGTAAACAGTTTCACGGTAGAAAAATAATGCAGTAATAAATTTCATGTATAGTGGTGAGAATTTAAAATAACGATATTGAAAATTTAGTATGTGGTCAAGAAATTATATTTTCAATCGTACCAGTAGCTCTTTAGAAATGGAAAAATACTGGAGAGATGTCTTAAAAATCTGAATTTTATGTCATATTTGTATTACAGATCGTTCTGGGTTAAAAGAATCAGTTAAAATAGAACAACTACAAGAACCTCTATTAGAGGCCTTAAAACATTATGTCAGATCTCGGCGAGAAGAACAGCCCCATGTGTTTGCCAAAATGTTAATGAAATTAACAGATTTAAGGAGTATAAGCGTTAAAGGTATGTACATTTTTTAATTTGTTTATAAAAGCTGACATTTTGTGTGTCTCAGAAAATCTATTAGTTTTGGTCAAAGTATGTCTAAGGAGATTTTTCATTCAACAAACTGTTCACTCTGTAAGAATTTTGAAAACAAGATTTTCAGATGTTTCTAAATTTTCACAATTAAAAAAACGTATATATTCATTGAATTGTGTTTCGGTTAGTTACCACCTATTCTAAGGGCATTTTGACCAAAATTAATCGATATCCTGATACTGAAAGGTAGGTGAAATCTTTCTGTTGCTATTGATATTTGCTTTCTAAGCCTATATTGCTTAGCTTTTGCTTTTAGGAATTTTAGTTCTTAGCTTTGACCTCTTTATGCTTAGCTTTGGCTTTTAATAGTGCTTTTAGCTAGATGTATTCTCACAGTATATATTTGTGGTCATGCAGTGCTGAATATAGATTCACCATGATAAAACCATTCCTCACTTTTCATGAAGTGTCATTACCTCTGCAAAAGGTCTATGGATCGAAAAGTGATAAATTTGAGATTAACTTCAAAATTGGAATGAATTTGAGATTAACTTCAAAATTGGAATGAATTTGACATAAACAAAATTTTTCACCATTCGTCCATTGATAGTTTGGAAGATCTTGGTTAAAATATATATTATAACATTAACAAAGCTTGGCATCATTATTTACTTCCATTGCTCTCAAAAAATTAAAAGAGCAAAGTCCACTTGAGCTGTTATTTTGTAATGGTAATCATACTTCATAAAGTGAACAATTGGTTGTATCATATTATATTATATTAGGTGACTGTGGTAGCATAGATATTGTGGTGTACTATAATACTCCATCACAGCTTTCATAGCTTGTTCTTCATATTACATTATCATTTATATCTATTCTTCATACACTATAAAAATTTCTATTTGATTTTATTTCACAGATAATAAGAGACTTATTGATTATTAACATAGATCTATTGAAGAAAGAAACATAAATCTCAGCCTATCATTGTTTATTATTGATATTATTTGATATCAATACTTTTCAATTCATTTTTGACTATTTATTTTATTGAAAAGATAAAATAAAGTGTATGAAAAATAGGTAAATTCAATATAAGTCTTCTGATTTCTTACATTGAATTGAGACAGTTGTTGTGAATAATATTTTTAACAATTACAACTGAAATTGGCAAAATTCATAAATTGTCAATTTTGAAATTATAAAACAAGAAAATGAAGAACTGAAGACTTATATTAGTCATCATTTTAACATAGCATAGCATAGCAAACCTTGAAATTTTCTCATTATATTCTCAATAGATATTTTATTATTTTGTAATTCTGAAAAGTTTTGAATAAAATGATAAAATTACAGTTTTCTTGTGATTTATAAGGAAGGAAATGTCTTAAGGACAGCCAGCAATAAGGACTAAAATTACATACTACTTTCAAAAAGAAAATTTAAAAACAAATGAATCGAATTCAAATTTCAAGGTTTGATTTTATGCTGCTTTCATAGAAAAAAAAACATGGAAAATATCATTCATTGGTGCATTTTTCTTGCTTTTTTCATTTTACTTTGCATTTTAATTTGCTTTGTTTTAATTTGCTGGCTGCCTCCCTGCTTGACCTTTCTTTCTCCTCCTCTCCCAACTAGGTGAAATGGATTCAATGACGTTTGCTGTTGATTTTATGAATGAAATATTGGTACCAGTTGAAAAGTTGATTGAGGATGAACCTCTGGGAATATATCGATATAACGGTATACGTATAATCAAATCTACATCAGTAGATAAACCACTACCCTCACAATTAAAGAAAGATTATAACAATATGGGTTATACACCTAATAATGTTGAGGGATATTATGATGCCTATAATCTACAATATCCTAGTAATACTAGTCTAACATCAAACTCACCAATGGAAGTTGGCTCCAATATGAAGATGAATCCTTCCCCGGCATTGTCACCAATGGAGTATATGTCTGGTCACCCTTCACCAGTTACTCTTTACGCCAACACTGCTGTTTATCAACATGGTCAAGTATCAACTACTACAACAGCCAATGGTCTGCCACTTCCATCAAACCAGGGTAGAAATGGTGGTGCTGCTCAAACGCTTTCAACATCAGGAGAACAGAGCACAAGCTCTCAACAATCCAACACTCAGTCTAAAGATGTTGTGCAGATTCCCTCAGAAGACTACGGTGCTGTCCAATGTGAAGTTAAGATAGAAAATGTGAATGTTCCAGCAACACTGTTTGATAATGCCTACACAAATCAAACTTTCCAGCAACAAAATACTCGAAACTTTGACCCAAACAGTCAGGCATTTCAACAAAATTTACAACCAATTAAAACGGAATTTGACCCCTCTCAACATGGCTACCAGCAAGGTCAAGGCCAGTATCAGGGTCAAAATGGAAGCAATGGTAGTTATGATAAAGATGGTAATTCTAACAGCAATAATTCCTTTCAATATTATCCTTATGATTTTGGAAGCTTTGATCCAGGGACATACCAAGATCAAAATGGGATGCCGGTGTCCAGATTGATTTCTCATGTTTTAGAGTCACCAGAACCTGTGTCACAGTTTGGAGGAATAATAAGTGAAGCTCTATCAGATATATTACAGTTATAAGAGCCAAAGAACCCGACTTGTTAGTGGACTTTTCAATATATTAAAGCTGTGGCAGTTGAAGTTCATTCTTCCAAAAAAAAAAAAAAACAACAACAAATTATTTGTTAAGACGAATTATGGTTAATGGTTATGCCTGTGTTGAAAATGTGAATATGTATGAATGGTTTATATTCTTCAAAGAACAACCAAAAACTTTGTTCTAAATGGCTGTGGCAGGTTCCTGGCCATAATTGATCAACCAACATTTATGGTGAAATTCATTGATTGAAATGTGTGGATGTTAGGGTGAAGACTCATTTCCTTTCAGAATTTCCACTCTATGATCTCAGTAGAATGATTATAACTATCATTTTTATGTTATTGCAAATTTTTACAGAAAAATTACTCTATTTTCTCTATATTGTACAAATACTTTTTTAAGAAATTTTTTTTTTGTAATTTAGCATGTTAATTTGTTAAGCATAGTGTTACTGTTAGGTTATACCAATTAGCAGGGAACTAATAGATCATACCTCATCATGATTTTGGTCATTTAATGTCCAATATAGATATTTTGTATTGATATTTGAATATTCATATATCCAAAGTTGGAAGGCCCATTATGCTAGTTGTATTATGTTCAAAATAACTCATACAAACATTTTTAATGAATTTAGAAGTCCGAACATCAATGTTAGTTTAAATGAAGCAATATTATTATTTTTTTGTTTAGATATTTAGTTTGATTAGTTAGATGATTAGCATACCTACTAAGTTTATTCATGTTTTATAATTATATGCACATATATTATAGATTAATCATTGATTGTTAATCCTATGTTATTGAAGATTTTGTTGGTTTTAGTTACACCGGTGAATGGTTTTAGAAATAGGTAATGCATTTCATTAACTTGCTTGGTTTTTTTGAATTAAAACATAGGCATGATAAAATCATTGTTAAGAAATGCATCACTTATTTTGAGTTAAATTTTCAGATACTACATTTGAAGGGACAGGTTTGCTATCCATTTGACCAATCGTACCTTAGTCTCAGAATGGGAAATCTTTTAGCTAAACTTATCAGTAATAGTTTTTACAGCTCTACGTAGAAATTTGAGCCCTAAATTCATGTGTGTCAACAATTATTCAGGTTTGAAAATTAACATGACAACTTATCTTTTCGTGTGACACTGTGATATATAGAAAAGACATACATAGAAATAGAAAGTGAAATTCCTAGTTTTGAGTATTCTGGAAGGAGTAATGTGATTTTCGTACAAAACTATTTAAATATATTCAAGATCCAAATCAACCCTTAAAAATGGCAAATCTGTCCCTTTAGATTTGAAGATTTATTTTGTTATTTTTAATGTAGATATATATATATAGTGATGTAGAAAAAATACTAGCAATATGATAGATATTGTAATTCAAATGAAACTGTTAAACCTCTTGAACAAAAACACAAAAACCATGATAACCATATATATTGCTGATCAGTATAGAGCTAATTGAATTAATGCCATGAGATACAAAACCCAATTCTTTGTCAATGAAGATGATTAGGCTATTTTCTTCCTTTGATAGTTTCTAAAGATAAATACACTGCTTATTGTAAAAAGATATTTTTCCTTTATATTATGTAGATTATTTCGATTTTTAGTGCTTTATTATTTTCTCTATCATAAGTTTTTAATCAAGCCTAATATACACTTCAGTTTCTCTATTTCATGAAGTTAAGATGAGAAATCAACAAAGTTCGCCATTATAATCACCATTGTGTAATTATGGGCTACATACTGTATTAGTGAATAAGTTTGATAACTGACACATTATACAGTATGATATTTTCTATTTCCATATATTCTGGTTGTATAATGAAATAAATATACTATCAATTTCTATAACAATAAAAACTTTCTCTTGAAATTAACTACTTGTTATGGGTCACAATAAAACAGTTTTTAGATTTTGACCTTCAGACAAAACAAGATATGACTTACTCAACTAGGATTAGCAAAGCCTCTTTGGATAAAGAAAGATCCTTTTTCAAAGATGTCCCATCTGAGATTAAAGGTTTGACCAACTGATCTTAGACAATGAAGACTCATCTGAAAGTGTAACCTCCTGACCATATATTCATGAAGTCTCATAAGATACCTTCTGACTTCAGACTTTAAAAGAATATTATACCAGGGATAATTAAAGTCTTAATGGACGGTATAACCAAAAAATATAAGATAATTATTATTTATGTCCCATTTTGAGGAATGACCTTTTTCATGTAATGACGTACTGGCCTCAGATAAATTTCAAGCCCCTCACTTAAGTTTAAGGGTAAGTTTATACAAATTTATACTGAATTTTGAATTAATTTGCATTTGAAATGGGGGCTTGTAGAGTCTTTATCTTAAAACAGAATTGAAATTGTAAAATACAATTCATCACAAAATGATGTGTCTTTATTTTTTTCTCTTATTAGAACTAATTTCATACTTTATCTCTGTATTTTTCAGGAGCTGAACGTGTTCTTCATCTACGTTTAGAAAAAAATGGAGAGTTACCTCCCTTAGTGGTAGAAATGTTAGACAGGACTGAAAATGTTTGTATACCATAATCTTTTTTAAGGATTAACCACTTTCAATTTTTTTTTTTTTTCCTTGTTCAGTAACAGCCATTTTGAAAATTTAACGCACAATACCGAGTGACTTAACTGCTGACAATTTTTTTGTGACATTTTTTATGATGTGTTTTTAATGCAAAGCTGTTGATTGTTTGTGAAAAGGAGAACAGAAACAATGATTTTGAATTAATAAAATTCATATGTTTTGAGTTTAAATCTAAGTATGCTTTAGTGCTTCCAAAATTTTGATTTGATCTACTAAAAGCCATTTTGTTGCATTGATTTTTAATTGATAATGGATATTGACCTTGAATAAGAAAGAAGAAATTTGATTTGGACAATGAGGAAAATTCGATTGGATAACTGATGTGTAAATAAGCAGCTACAACACTAGTCTTCTGATATTTGATTGGTGGAGGTGGTGAAGTTATGAATATTTATGAGATTTTATCCATTACTGAACAAAGTTCATAATTGATATATTGGTCTGTCACAAATGCGAAAAACCTATCATAGAGTATCACGTGATATATCAAGTGATTTTTGTGAACATTTTTGTTTTTGATTTAATTAAATATTTGTTTTACCAGCTGAAAGAGCAATAAATATATATATGTCACTTTTCAAATTAAAATTGTCTTTTTAGCTGGAGAACCAGACATATGATTTTTATTCTAGAAAATTTAATTGATAGCAGAAATAGAGTTTATCAGCTGGTAAAGCAAATACCCTTATAATTATTTCTTTGGTAGTCAAAATTGGATATAGCTAAAGGAATAGCCAAGATCAATATATAATTTATTGAGACTTTAAGCTGATGATTTATTTGACAATTCTGATTAAAACCAATGATTTAACTGAATAGCTGACAATAATACTATTATTAATAGGAGTGTCACTATCTGTATCCCCACAGAATTGGAGAAATCTTTTATAACTCAGGGAGATATATATTATACTGAAATAAATATACTCGTTCTTACTGATTTTCCTATAGGCATCAATAATTTTACTAACATTGGCATCTTTATGTACATATATGTTACTAAAGTTGGCATTTTTACATTTATAGTAATCACCATTGTGGTTTAAAACATTTTCCAGAATGGTAGCCAAGTCAAATAGTTGATGATGTAGATTGAGAATAATTAAGAATGAGGCTAGTTGATAATTATAACCGGTTGTAACTTAGTTCGGTGAAATTAGGTTGTGTTTTTATTTCTTAATCTTTCTTTCATTTAACATGTATCTTGTTCTTGAGTTACTCCAGAATGCTGCCAGCACTGTGCTTGGCTTGACTTGTAACTATATCAATATATGAAATATCAACATTTTTTTTTAGCACAAAATTACAGCAGTGTAAACAAGTTCATGATTAAACATTCAACATTTGTACTAACAATGTATATGAGAATTATTGAAAAAAATTTACGTTATTTGATTTCTAATAGACTGCAGATCATGAAAGAAAGAATTTTTGTAATTATGATAAATGATTTTAAATAGATAATCAACTTAATCAGTTTAGAATTATATATATATTTAAGAAATAATCAAAATCTTTTGCAATGCATTTATGTGTTCATAAATCAGTATGCTACGTTCATTCTCAGACCATTCAAATATTACCTAATTTTGTCTTTTTTTTCAAAATTCATTATCTAGAAAAAACATTCTTAAACCTGTACATATCTCTGGAATTTTCCGAATGTAAAATTTCAGTGTCTAGGAAATTGTTGATTTTTAAAATTAAATTACATGTCCTGCTCCAAACTGTTAAAGGGATTGTAGAGGTTTTCTAGCCTTTTTATGTGTATCAAAGACACTTTTGACTTCTATTGAGGACATGCCAATTCTTACTCCAATGTCTGTGGTTGTGCTCTGATTTGCACTTAACATAAAAAGGCTAAAAAACCTCTTTACAATCTCTTTAACTCTAAAATATTAAGTAATAGAAGTAATGAAGGTTAATTTTCCTTTTTTTAATGAATATTTTTTACATGTATAAGCCTTTGTATTTATTTAGTAAAATTTAACAGAGGTAAAAATTCTTGAACTGGGAACAAAATACAAGACACTTAGTGAATGAGATTGAAATTTTGTTCTCAGTTTATCATTCCGGTTGATATTTTAATAGCAATGAAAATTTAAACCAAAAATAATTCATTTTTAAGTGTCAAGTTCTTGCTAGTTGAAAGTAGATTTTTTAAAGATTTTTGAATGAAAATGAAATGCTACCAGTGATTGTTTCTATGGAAACAGATTTGAAATAATAGATTTAGATAATTGTTTACAAGTTTGTCAACTCCATTCTAATGTCTACAAATCTTATCATTGTTTGCAATTTAAAATTCATTTTAGGCTTTTAATAAGCATGCAAAATCTTATATAGACTATATCACATCAAGAGAAAATCATTTATTTAAAAGATATTCTCTATAAGTGTCGGTGAACTACACTAATCCACAGTTTGATAAAGCTTGCTATTTAATCGGCATTTGCTTCTCTTAAATTCTTCACAAATGATATATTTGAATATGCTTAATAAATGGCACCAACAAACCTACAGATGCAAACAATGTTAAGAATTTGGACTTGAAGGGAGTTAACAAATTTGATATTTTGTACTTATAATGAACTGATTTAGTACCGGTTATTTGATTGATGTGGACATCTGAATTATTGGATTGATGATATTTTATTAGCTTGTACAATTATCTCATTACCTCCCCTACCCCTACCCCTCCTCAATACATCTTGATGTTTCTATACAATATAGCCATGATATTTATGGTGATATGCAAAGAATGTGATTTTATTAAGTAGTAGTTTTGTAGTCCTTATATGAAAATATTTGACAAGGACATAAGCATGGAACGTAATATGTGATAGCGTCAGCATCAGATAAAATAGTATCTGTTTTAGTGATCTAAAACACAGACCTGTTAATTTAATTAAGTTAACTACGACCAATGTTGCAAATATAGAGACACAAAATTATTCTCAAAATTTGTCTTTTTTTGTTGCTGATTGCTTTTGAAAAATATAACGAAAAGTAGCATTTATTAAGGGAGATCTCATTTAAATTTACAGACATAGATAATAAAATCACATTCTTCAAGTTTTTCTTTAATTATTTATTTTTTAACCAGATATACCAGTTTTTATATTCTTTTTCATTAATCAGCAAATTTTGTTGCATAGGGAGAAGAAGCCCCTTTTTTATTGGAAATTAAAATAGTATGATGATCATACTATGATCCCTGAATATATAAGAGTTATTTTGAATAAGGTGTAAAAATTGAGCAACATGCAAATGGAAATAATTGCTTGTATTAATATGATATGTGTATTGATATAAGCATTAATGGAATTTGTCAGACTCTGCCCATAAGAATATGAGGCAACCTAATAACCCGATAACAATTAGGTCATGTACTGAAGAATGAAATAGAATATAAAAACAACCAACCTGCCATTTTTGTTTGCTGAACATGCAAAGGAGAGCTACTCAGGAAAATATAACATTTTTTATATTATATATATATATATATAAATTTAATTTTACTGTAACCATAGCTACCAGCATAATTGTAAATATTATTAAACCTATGTTGGACTTTCTTGTTTGTTTTTATTATCTTATTATTAGTATATTCCCTAGTTCACACAACAAATCCTGATGAGTCACTCGATTGACAAGATGAGTATAATGATTGACAAAATAAGCATATTAATTACCAAGATGTGTTTACTGATCTGAATGAAGATTATATTGATGGCAAGATGAGTCACTTGATTGACAGGATGAGTAAATTAAATGACAAGATGAGTCACTTGATTGACAGGATGAGTAAATTAAATGACAAGATGAGTCACTTGATTGACAAGATGAGCCACTTGATTCACGAGATGAGTTACTTGTTTGATAAAATGAGTTTATTGATAGACAAGATAAGGTTATTGATAGACAGAATGAGGCACTTGATTGACAAGATGAGTAAATTGATTGACAAGATGAGTTTATTGATTGGCAGAATGAGTCACTTGATTCTCAAGATAAGTTTATTGATTTGCAGAATGAGTCACTTGTTGCTCAAGATGAGTAAATTGACAACGTGAGTACATCGATTGACAATATGGGCATAATGATTGACAGAATGAGTCACTTGATTGACAAGATGAGTTTATTGATATACAGAATGAGTCACTTGATTCTCAAGATGAGTTTATTGATTGGCAGAATGAGTCACTTGTTGCTCAAGATGAGTAAATTGACAATGTTAGTATATTGATTGATAATATGGGCATATTGATTGACAAGATGAGTATAAAGATTGACAAGATGAGTTTATTGATACACAGAATGAGTCACTTGATTCTCAAGATGAGTTTATTGATTGGCAGAATGAGTCACTTGATGCTCAAGATGAGTCACTTTATTGACAGGATAAAATATATTGATTGAAAGACGAGTATAACGATCTACAAGATGAGTTTTTTGATTGCTAGAATGAGTCAGTTGTTGCTCAAGATGAGAAAATTGACAATGTGAGTACATCGATTGACAATATGGGCATAATGATTGACAGAATGAGTCACTTGATTGACAAGATGAGTATAAAGATTGACACGATGAGTTTATTGATATACAGAATGAGTCACTTGATTCTCATGATGAGTTTATTGATTGGCAGAATGAGTCACTTGTTGCTCAAGATGAGTAAATTGACAATGTGAGTACATCGATTGACAATATGGGCATAATGATTGACAGAATGAGTCACTTGATTGACAAGATGAGTATAAAGATTGACACGATGAGTTTATTGATGTACAGAATGAGTCACTTGATTCTCAAGATGAGTTTATTGATTGGCAGTATGAGTCACTTG